TTATGGATTGCTTTAAATTCATCAATAGCCTCATCAGTTAACTTAAATGCAGTTTGCACAACAGACACCTCTTTCTTTTTTGCTATCTTCTATCTCGAAGGTACTCTCCCAGTGAATGTATAAGTTACCTAGGAAGTTCACTGATAGCATATTTAATATGTTGGTTAATAACATATTAGGAATTTTTTTTTCTAAGTAACCAAGTGATAATAATAGACATTAGAATGCTTGGTGAATTTTTAGTTGCCTAGAAGCAGATGGATCCATGCTTCATAGCGAACCTATACAATACCAGATATTATTTTTAAATCCAATCAAAAGCTTTAACGTTGTTTTTAAATATGGTTATCTTTTGCAATTTCTTAAGTTTTTCATATTTTTATTGAACATGTTTCTGAAGTTGAAATATTTATGGGCAAAAGTTTCCAATAAAGGTTTTCAAATGGGCATATGCTAGACTGCAATAAATGATAAATTTTATAATTATATTATTGTTATACAATTGAAGTAATAGTTCCTAACTTTCATGTATAAATTAAGAAAAATAACTTCTATGTTACCTTTGAAGTGACTGACGCCCTACTCCGCTACGATGTGATCCGGAGTGAGTAACGAGGTCATGCTGAAAAAAAAAATCTAACAAAACTTGTTGCAATCAAAACATGCCCGCCTTACCTCTTCTTAGATGATATGTAGAGCTTATAGATATCAAGTTTTTCTTCAACTGATCAATGTGACACATCAGGGTTTTCCCAACAGCGAACAAACCCATCTTACACAGGTTAGTATCGTAACATTTAAATATTTCTTTACATATCTTCTCAGTGATGCAGAGCATCCAAAAATGACAATATCTTGAGCTGCAATAATTTTTAAATGTATAAATGTATTCCAAATCCCTTTTAGTCTTTCTATCTAACTTGAGCCACCCTAAGCATTCAGCCACGAATCACTGGCGACCCTGTGGTTGCTTGTGTCCTTCCAAAGATCAGCTGATGTCGAAGTAAAACTAGGTCTTGGGAGAAAAAAATCCCTGGAAAACTTTCAAAACATTGCATCTTTTAAAAATATGCATTAAAAATCATAAATACATAAATCATACAAAAACATTACATTTATTAACCTTTTTTTATTTATCAATTTATTTACATTTTTATTCATCTTACTACTTATTCATCATTTCTTTATCCCCTGAGGGATTTAGTTGAGAAATGATAGCTGTCATTAGTTATCAAGATTTATTTTATTACTTTATTTCGACTTTTTATTTATCAAAATTTAGTGTATTTTAAGTTATTAAGTATACTTTTTTAAGTTATCATTTAGAAAAGGCTCTCAACGACAGTATTTGTAGGACACTTCGTTGGGCCTATGTGACTGGACTGACTGTACTGAACTTCACTGAATCTGACTCGACTAGGGCCTTTTTCTGAATAGAGCTTTATTTTAATGTATGGCACCGCACTGCCCTTGGTTGTACTTCACTAGTCTCAGCTGGAATGCATTGCGGTCGACATTGTGCACCAGATTGAAATACAATGCAATATACCTCAGTTAACGGGACTGGACTGGACTGGACAGCACTACACTGCATTGTTGTAGTTGGCTTATATTGAATTGGATAGTTCCGGATGGAAATAAACTGCAATGTACTTGCATGGATGAGACTTGACTTGAGTAGATGGGACTGGACTGGAGTGAGCGGGACAGGACTGCACTGGACCAGACAGCGATACACTTCACTGCACTGGATTGCTATAGACTGTGCTTGACTTCACCAGACTGCATTATACTGCACTGTCTTGGATTGAACCAGACATCACCATACAGGATAGCTTGCATAGCATTAGACTTGACTCTGTTGGGCTGTTCTGGGTTGCGTAGAATGCAATGGAGTTGATGGTGCTGCACTTGACTTGAATGCAAAAGACTGCTAACAAAGACTGATAATATACTTAGGATTTAGAAAAGACCGACTAAATAATAGTTTTTCTGAAGCTAGTGCTAGTCGCATATATTTAAGACAATTTGTGTCTCGAGGATATGAAATGCAACAATGGAAATCATATAAGTTGTCCCTGAATTTTCCCCTGACTTAATACTTACACATAATCATCATGTGTTACCAGTCCCATGGGTTGCTGATTGGATAACTGGGCGTTGTTTAAAAGCATTTCAAACTGATGGTTTTTCTCCTCTGATAAAGGAAAACTTTCAGAATACAAGAAAGGATATAAATATTAAACACGTCACCTTGGAAATTATTAAAATAGTCGGGAGGCCAACTCACAAATTCTGTAAACAGAAAATTTCAGATAGTCCAGAACCGAGAATAATTCTTACAAGCGTTACCTTTGAGGTATCTGATGCTCTACCTCTTCACGAAGTGATCGAGGAGTTACGAAGTCCTTTTGAAAAAAAAAAATAAAAAAATCTAACAAAACTGGTTGCAATCAAAACATGCCGGCCGTACCTCTTTAGATGATCTGTAGAGCTTACGGATATTAAGTTTTTCTCGAGCTGCTCCATAAAACGCATCAGGGTTTTCCTATTAGCGAACCAACCGATTTTACTCAGGTTAGTATCATAATATTACAATATTTCTTTACGTACCTACTCACTGATGCACACTTCCCGAAAACCGCCTTATCTTTAGCTGCAAGAATTTTAAAATGTTTTAAGCTCCCAAATCCCTTTTTTATTCTTTCTGTCTAACTTGAGACAACATTAACTACTATACTATAGTGTACAGTACCAAACTATGCTATACTATACTACACCCTCCTGTATAGTACTTTGATGCACTTGTAATGATATCACTTTTTTTGCCATGAAAACTATTATAAGATGTCACATTCGCGAATTTGAAGGTGATAAGAGCACTTGTTCTCTTTTCAAGTGAACACTTATTTAAGGGCTATGCTCTATCACCCGTTCATGAGTGCTTTTTTAGAGGAAGAAAATCTGCTTTGACTAGCTTTTCCATTACTCAGAAATTTTATCGTACCTGTGGTTATGTCCTAGCTTTGGATTCTTCTCGCAGCTGTAGCTTAGATTGTTCTTAAGATCATCTTCTAATGAAGCAGTCCACTATTGCTCTACTGATATCCCAGCGTTACAAATTCAGCCACAAATCGCTGGAGACCCTTTGATTGCTTGTGTCCAAAGATCAGCCGATTTCTCAGTGAAACTTGGGCTTAGGAGAAAAAATACCTGGAAAACTTTTAAAACGTTCCATTTCGTTTTAATATTCTGCATTAAAAAAATCGTAAATACTTATAATAATGTTATATTTATTATTTTTTATTGGTTTATCAACTTATTTACCTATTTTTTCATCTTCCTACTTATTCTTCATTTCTTTATCCTCCTAGGAACTTAGTTGAGAAATGATCACGGTTATTGGTAATTAAGATTATTTCATTACTTTATTTTAATTTTTTATTTATCAATTTTTTAGTGTATTTTAAGTTATTAGGTATAGTTTTATGAAGCTATAATTTAGAAAAAGCTCACCATGACAGCATTTGTAGACACTTCATTAGACTGCTGTGACTGGACCAGACTGCGCTGACTGGGACCTGAATGTGGCCTTTTATGAATGGCACTTTACTCTAATGGACAGCACCGCACTGCTTTAGGTTGTACTTCACTTGACGCAGCCGGAGTGCATTACGCTTTACATTGTGCTCCAGATTGAAATAGACTGGACTGTACTTCAGTGGGTGGGACTGGACTGGGCTGGACTGGACTGGACAGGACAGCACTTCACGGAACTGGATTGTTGCAGTCGTTTTTTATGGACTTGGGGTGTACAGTATTAAACTATGTGTACAGTACCAAACTATGCTATGCTACATTATACTATACTATACCCTATTGTATAGTACATAGAGTCACGTGTAATAATTTCACTTATTTTGCCATAAAAACTATTATACGATGACATTCCCGAGTTTGAAAGCAATAAGAACACTTGTACTCTTTTCAACTTAA